CAGTTTGTGCTTCCGGAGCAAGACACAAGTATCAAAGGCTGCGGACTGCTTTGCAGTGGATTTCCTTGATGCAGGGGCTCCAGTGAGCCCTCGAACAGGTGACTTTTCTGGTAATATGACTTCACAAACGAAACTGTTATTCTGTGGAAGCACCACATACGTAGCCTGAGCCGATACCTCTTTTTCGTATTGCTAGATAACATAGATATCTTAATTTAAAACTCTTCGGTGTCAGCACGGGATAATGGTACTTACCAGAGAGCTAGCATAGCGTGCGAGGATAGCAAGGGCAGAGTGGTAAGTCAGTTTTGCGCCTGTAGCCCTGATTATAAATGTTCGCTTCTCTTCTTCACCTTGGAGGATTGAGTCTATCTCGCTATCAATACTGTGAAGTATTCGGTCTTCTGGAAGTGTTTCACAGAAATTCTGCATAAGTTTCTGAATTTCGATTAGAAATATTAGCGGGCTGCGGTACATTAATTTTGTACACTTACTTCGGCCTCCCGAACCTCGACTAGTCGTGCCTCATGATCAGCATTGTACCTTTCAATCATACTTGCATACTATATATATGTCAATCAGAGATTTTGGTCGCTCGACAGTAATAAGGGTCTTTTCTTACCGTCGAACTGGAATGTCTAGCGCGGCCACGACTTTGCACATACTGTATAAGGGTATTGTATAGGTCGAACCTAATCTCTTAGAATAAGCGAACTAGCAATGCGGTGAAACCTACCTAACTACAAGATTACAGTCAGGAATATCGAGTCCTTCCTCGGCTACTGAAGTAGCAAACTTTTTTGCTTGTTAGAGCTTTGGCCAGGTGCAGAGGGCTAGTGTTACTTACCAAACAGTTAATCTCTCCACTCCTGAATTTCACCAAGGCGAGAAACTGTTGGCGAAAGGACACGTTCATTCCTGCGATATCGCCAGATCGAACACCAATCAGCACACCAGGCCTTAGGTAAGGTATCTCTAAAGTTGAGAAAAGGTCGAATAACATCTTAGCAGTATAACGCTTCTGTGTAAAGATGATACATTTTGTCTCCGTTGGACGCTCAAAGTATTTGGTAAGCTTTTGGCGTAGGAGTTGTACTTTAGGGCTCAGTTCACCTGGAACGTTGGGGTTATTAAAAGAATGATTCTTGACAATGTCACTAGCTTCCTGGATCCTTGATATTTCTCTGAGAGCACACTCGGGAATCGGCGATGAGATAGATTGGGCGAGCTTTCTCACATTTCCCTCAAGCTTTGGCAACACATCATCTGCTAGGGCGTGCGCCCATGCACGATCTGCGCAACATGGTCCCAGTTCAGAACTGGCCTGTAACGTAAATCTGAATACAGGTTGCAAAGAGCTAATGTCACCAAAGCGGGCTTGCAAGCTCTGATATAGGTTGGTCGCAAACGGTGGATCGAGCTTATCATATTCCCAAGATTCTTCTATCGGACGTCTGACGACTTCTCTCAATAGATTAAATTTTGATGTTGTGGCAATCTTGCTGTCTAGGAGAGCCTCCAGCTTCCTATAAGATGTCAGTTATGGGCGTTGTTGTATATACAGTAGGACATACATTGCTGATTCTATGATATCCCCCTTGGTGTCAATAGGCGACGCTGTCATTCCAAAGATCCTTGGGCGCTTTGTCGGGTCTGCTTTGAGATATGATTCTCTAATAATCCTGTGATAATAAGAGCATCACAATCAGCCTATGTGGTCCTTTTCTCTTTTCTCAGGTTTGCCAAATACATACCGTGCGTAAGGATGGTCTTTCTTCGTGTGATGAGCTTCATCAAAGATGAGTAGGTTAATTTGATCCATTCTAACATGTGAATTGAGTAAACATTGATTTAATATCTCTGCGGTACAAACTATCACCATATTTCTCTCAAAATGATGGTCCCAGGTCTGCTTGCTCCAAAGATCAGTACCCATGGCGCCAAAAAATTGTGCGACATTCTGATCCAGGTTGTTGCGCAAGACGGCAGCCTGTTGGAAAGCAAGTGTCACGCTGTCCACCTACTTGTAAATTAGCGCCTCCAAAAGAGCCAAAGCATGTATACGCACAAGAAAAAATGAGATGCGAGGTGGCTTTCCGTTAGCGCGAGCGATCAACTCATTTTGGATGATGTGCTTTAGCAGAAGCACGGCTATCAAGGTCTTTCCAGATCCTATGGTACAATTAAGTGAGAAATAAGGGACGTATCAAGTTGGGCCTAAATGCACGTACCGGTATCGAGGACTGCAATGGTGTTCTGTGACTTTGCCCTTTCAAAGAGCTCTACCTGATATTCTCTCGGGTCGAGCATCCCAGTTCTGGCATCTTGTTTAGCTACCAGGCTCGCCGTAGACAGCTCAGCGTCAGGCAAGTCAAGTGTGGGCCTGGCACTTTTGCCGGTGATTGTATCAGCTCGTTCAGAAAGCCTAGATATAGGTCAGCTATGGATGGCAAAGAATTCTTGGCCGGAGATAATACAGAGCTTCAAACTTGGCACTTTGGAGTCTTTTGTTTTGAGAGATGAGCTTCTGAGCGAATATTTGTTCATCTCCTGACTCTTCTGAGGAGCTGTCATTTCCCTCGGCTGGTTCAGTAGTAGAAATAGTCTTTCCCTCAGACAAATCCAGAGAGGTCGAAATACTGCGGCTTTGACTACTAACATAGCCGGCCAGAGGTTGTGCTTCTGGCGATGGCATTTTGGTTTTGTTTGGGTCGCTCAAAAATCAGACAAGGAGATCGAAATGGACAGGTTCATTGGATTTTATGGACTAGTACTTGGTAGTGATTGAAAGGAAGAGTAAAATAAGTGGTATGACGCTGTGAAAGAGAATGTCCCTTGAAGAAGTGAATGGGCTCTCACCACACTCTGAAGTAAAAGAAAAAAGTACTTAGTACGTCAAGAGGTCTGGATGAGTGCTATCATGTTGCACTGCGTAACTGTCCAGTAAACAGCATGATATGCATTTCTATAGGGAATTGTTATTTGGACCTCACGCTAGTTATTTGGACCTCACGCTAAACCTATATAGGAAGACCTAATACTATGTAATTGTAATTCAGAACCAACGCAGGCACGTGGTCTATTCGGTAAGCCTATACAGGGCGCATGACGACGATTCTAGAACAGGGGTATAGAACCCCCCTAGGGGGGGTGGTCCTAGGTGCCCGAAAACCATACTATAACTAGAGCTGGACTGAATCCTGACTTTACTCGGCCTATTCCTACCCACCGCCGGTTATTTTTCGTTTTTTTTTTTTTTTTTCAGTTTTCCGGCGTTGGTTTCTGAGCAGGTTTTGACACTCAATAAACCGCACTCCGCGAAACGGTCAATGCCAGTAGTCTCGGCGGCCTAATCGGGCCGAATTCGGAAACCAGAAAGGCGCCGGTTCAATCCCTGGACGGAGCCAAAAATGAGGGTTTTTTTGGCCCGCTATTTTGCGGAGTATAGAGAAATCTTGGTGGTGAGGAGCTATCTAGATATCTGATCGGGCTGCTGGGTCATAGAAATGGTGGTTTTCTGCCGAAGGCGGTGAGATATTGTCCAATCAGAATTGGTTATGGCAAACACTATCTCTGACTTACCATACAAATTTAATGCTATTTTCATCACTTTTCAAGCCGCGTTTTAGGCAGGCCTATTTAGGGGCCACCTGCCTGTCTGTCTGTCTGCTGAAGCGCTTGTTCGGTCCGCTCAAAGCGTGAGATCTCTCGATTTCTAGATCCCCTAGGCCTTCCACGGGCCTGTACAACTAGGGGTTCTTGTAGATGAGGCCATTCTATCGGTGGATCTAGATCTAGATCACGTAGATCAAGCGGTTCTATCGGATCATGCCGTGATATGAGCCACTGAGGATGGAATTCTGAGATAGGCAGCGGTGTTTTAGCCACACGATAATGTAGAATAGTATGAACACAGGGAATCCCTAGTGTTCTAGTGGTAATCCCCGTACAATGTTCAATCGGTGGCTTTCCCGGACCTATTGGTAGATAGCGATTTTGAATGCTAAGCACCTTATTTAGCGCGTAGATTGAGATATGACAAATAACCTCACTGAATAACAGCTCAGCCCGTAGATTACTAGGGATCTGAACATATTCATCTGCAAGTACTTGCTCAATCTGAAGATGATGATTGGTAAGTGTACGCTCAATCGATTTAACAACATTCAATAGATCGCCCAATGAACTCTGGAGATCTCGTTTTATTCGCCAGTGAGATCCCTCACTTCGAGATGTAGCAATCTGACCAAAGTGTAGATAAGTATTGGTATAGCAGCGGAGAAAGGCTCTTTCGGTCCGAGGCTGAAGCCATTCAGATTCTATATAAAGAAGCAACCTTCGGAATACTGGCTGTTGATATGTCTGCTTAAAACGAGCCCATTCATGATCCTTTTGGGAAACTGATCGTGCTGATATAACCCCGTACCATTCGGCCAGCATAGATTTCCACTGATCATTTATCTGCTTAAGAAATGCCTTCTCGTTGATTCTTGAGGCTATCGGTGTAGATTGTGTAAGTAGATAATCACGTATAGCCCACTTTGCATGACTGAGAATATTTTTATTAATATGCCATACACATAAAAGTGCAGCGGAAGACGGCCATGTATTCTGTACAGCTTTTATCAAACCCTCATCTTTATCGGTGACTACCGCTGCCGGAGGTTGAAGCTCGAGAAAAGTATAAAGGTCAGCTAGACACTTTAATATATAAGAAAAAGAGCTTTCCCGTTTATCACTTATAAAGCCAAAGGCAATATAGAATGTGCCTCCTTGTGGTGTTAGGCCGATGATATTGAAAAGCGGCATATTATACCGATTCGTTTGGTAGGTAGAGTCCATCATCAATATATAAGGATTTTTGCGTAGATTCTCTATTGATGACCGATGACTGAGAAATACTGCAGAAACATGTCGATTCTCGTGTATCTGATATTTAATATACCAATTACCTTCTCGGGGTATGGAGTTGACCAAGGCTTGAATTGGTGTACGACCATTTAAACGCTCAATATCAACTCTATATCGCATATTATAGAGATCACGAGGTCTGATCAACATACCCTGAAACTCTTTGCGTAGAATAGATGTAATATAGCGTATCGGAAGCCCTTCATTAAGCATTCCCACAATCTGATCGTATCGCCGGCGAAGCTCGGTACGTCGGTGAGCTGGAAGGGCTGATATAGACACAGGGCCATGATTATGAGTAGCTTCTTCGATAGCTAAGGACCATCTATCGAATAGGGTATTGAGTTTAAGCCGTGCAGTAAAGGGACAATCGATTCGACGAGAACGACCCACACGGATTCCCCGAGACTGATTCTCTGCTGTACGGCCCCTATCGCATACTATATCAATATATCTAAGATCCCCCGTTCTAGGATCCTTTCTTGAGCGACGTCGAATAACTGCAAAGCCGTTGACTAGGCCAAAGGCCTGTAGTGAGTCAAAAGCCTCATCCGCTGAGCTGAACGTCTGATATACAGGCGGTTCCGGGATAATAGTATCGCTATTATCATCATCATTCTCAGATTCTGATTCGTCAGAGAACGTAACTTCATAATCATCAAGAAAATCGTCCATTTTGAGCACTGTTTAGGATATGCTAACCTGCTTTCTTTATATGAGATATCATAAAGGCCGCATTTGAAAGGGCTTTACTAGCGTATTTCTTTGATTATATGACTCGCTTAATTTCCCTATATAGGTTTGGCGTAAGACCCAATAGCTAGCGTGAGGTCCAAATAACAATTCCTTTCTATAACATAAATATGTGTTTGTAATGTTTCATTTTAATTAGGCTCAAACTTGTAGAAGTTTCTTTGTTATTCATAACTTCTTCAATGATGATAAATAGGGGCATAAGGTAGATAAATCTCTATAGTAGATTGTTGAATTGACTCTATCTTTCAGCGAGGTACTCTGTACTAATGATGCCTATACATCATCAACATTAAGTGTATTTAAATTTGTGGGGCCTCGAGGTTCCGATGGCGCGGAGCGGACCCATAATTGACCTTAAATATTTCTATAATTTTACCCCTCTCCGCGGAGCTCTGATTCATGCAGCTTTGATCTTTACAAATATACTATCCTGAACCATTACAATGGAGCAACCCCAGAACCTTCGCGCTCTGTTTGCTACTGCAAAATCAGAGAAGTCAGCATTGGAAAGTCGCTTCGACACTAACACAGATCAATATCGCAACGATGTCAATGCCACAATAGCCAAGCTCGAGGAATGCGCTCGGCTTGTTGCAATCTTGTCGTTGTTCAGCTCGAACGAGCCGTTGGAAGATATCGCAACTGGGGATTTGCCGTAATATTGCTACCTTGTTGTTTCTTTATCCCGACCGAGACTAATTTCTTCCGGTTCGCACTAGGTATCTCACGGTGTCATACCATCTTGCGGAGCTCCTACAGAGATCGTACAACTCTGACCGCGTGTCTAGCCTTCGACGTGCACTTGAGCAATATGAAAGATACCTCACGCGCTTGGATGATTACGAATTACTCAACGATAAGGATAAGAAACTCTATGAACGGTATTCCGCGAACCCGGTGTCTTTTTCGCTGACGCCAGTCAACGATGCTGCTGCCCGGAGAGAAGTGAAAATAAATAGATTTAGAGAGGAAAAGGAGCTCAAGCAAAGGCTTCAGGTTGAATAGACTCTACTCCGAGGATTGGCAATCTTGCTGACGTATCTGAAGTACCTCTCCGATAATCAAAGCCAGCTCCAGACCGACGACGAAGATGTTCGACAGCTCTATATTGCGGAGATCAAACTGTATACTCACCAGACGTTTCAATCCTTGGACCTTCTTTCACAAGAGATGTCTATGCTATCGGCCATTCGCAACTCGGCACCAGCCCATGATCAAATCCCACCTGAAGACCCTAGGCGCCGGAAGGACGCTCAACAGTCGGAATACTCTGAACGGCTGGATCCTCCCATTTCCCAGCTTCTGCAAGGAGGAAAGTATGGACCAATATTGAGTAAGGATGGGAAACCATTGCAGCCATTTACACTACTTGATCGGCGGACACAGCTCCAGCAAGGCGTTTTTCGATCTGGTCACAATTTACCTACAATGACCATCGACGAATATCTTGAGGAAGAGAAGAGAAGAGGCGGCATTATTGAAGGTGGAGAGAAGTCTGGTATACAAGAGGAAGTTGATGAGGATGATATGGAAAGGGCTGATGAAGAAACTATGAAAGCTAGAGCTTGGGATGAATTCACTGAAGCCAACCCACGAGGCTCTGGGAACACCCTGAATAGAGGTTAATACTGATTGGATCCTCTGGTACATACAAAATTTACTTTCATGACATAATGTTGAGGTCCCAATTACCCTATCTTGCGACGCTTGTTATACGCTTTTTTTTACCTATACCCTTGGGATTCTTTCGCTGTTTGCCATTATCACTTCATGACTCGAGAGTAGTGACAAACTATGCATTTATAGGAGGTTGACAGGCTTCTACGTAGTGTTACTTTCCAAGCACGTCTGAGATTTTTTTTTTTTTTTAGCTATGTACAGTTGTCCGTCTAGATACAATTTCTGAGTCACGGAGAAGACCAGCCTCCCAGCCACAGGATATCTACCTATACATTATCATGATTTAAGCAGCCTACTTACTTCGCTGGATATCCTCGAGGATCTTCCCTGCTCCCTTGGCTACTAACTCCTTGGCAACAGTCACGCCATAATCTTCAGCAGCTTGAACGGAGTCGACACTTCCATCGACTTCGACCTCAGCGCTTTCCTTACCATCCACGCTGACAACAATGGATCTCATTCGGAGTTTCTTCGAACCATCGGAGGATTTAATCCATTCGGTTTCAACTCCAAGTGGTGCACTGCAGCCGCCTTCAAGGGTTCGTAGCAGGCTCCGCTCCGCGGTGCTGGCAAATGTCGTCTCATTATGTCCGATATTGTTCAACATATCACGCATCACCTGATCATCCTTTCGGATTTCAATGCCCAGTGCACCCTGGCCGACTGCATAAAGCATCCCACCGTTTTTGGAGTCCAGGTACTGCGAGATGCGATCATCGAGACCTAGTCTCAGTAAACCGGCAGCTGCGAGGATAATGCAAGTATAAGGTGAATCTTCTGCGTCTAGCTTGGCGAGTCGTGTACCGATATTACCACGCACATCAATAACCTTTAGGTGAGGGTATTTCAAGGCCAATTGAGCAGTACGGCGGATGGAAGAGGTGCCAACGACGGATCCTGCAGGCATATCGGATAAGGACATGTTCGGTAGCCCTTTCTTGATGACCAGTACATCCCTGGAGTCTTCACGCGCCATCATAGGGCCCAGCGTACACGCGGGGGGTAGGGTAGTTGGTACATCTGAGGACAGTCACTTTATCAGCGTCCACTGCCGTATTACTGTTAGCATACGCGGATGGCAAACCTTTCAATGAGTGAACAATGAAGTCCACATTGCCGGCCATTAAGTGTTCCTCTAACTCCTCCGTCCATAAGTTCTTCGTCGTAAATTCTCGGAAAGCAATGGTTGTGTTCAAATCGCCAGCAGTTTCCTGCGAATGAATTTTGAATTCATAGCCAGGGTAAACCTCTTTAAGTGCCGAGACTACAAGATCAGTTTGCGAAAGGGCAAGTTTAGACTTGCGCGTTCCAACGGTGAATGTCTTCCGCGATGAGGGGTCGGTGGCGCCAGAGGCGGGGTTCGACGTAGAGGCCATAGCGACACTTGAGTGAGAGAATACTGTAATAGATCCTTTCAAGAGTAGTCAGCAATACCGCCCGTAATGATTATTGCCCCGAGGGGAGTGGGTTAAAATGACAGAGCAATATACAATGGGTAGAGTTGTGATCGTAATACTTCAGGTTGGAAGCTGCAGAAAAACTTAGGTTGGATGGAGCCCATGAAATGGAAGAACGAAAGCGGTAGTAGTACTGTATTGTCTGTATTGTAATCGGTAATCCGAATAAAGTCCGATGAGTCTGTAAGAAGATCACGAGATCACCGGAAAACGGACAAAGGATAAGAAGACGGACGATACAACACAAACGAGCTGGAGGTGAAAGTCTTTTGATAGGACCGTTGCTTGTGAATTATTGGAACTCTTGGTATCTCCTTACTCGGGGAAGATTTACTTCTCGTTGAAACGCAGGCATTAGTATTCCTTCTACCATTTTTCCCCGGATTTGTGACAAAGCGGATTTGTAGCCATACGAACCTCGGCATCGGAAGACGGCTTATCACTGGCGATCATCTCCCCAGAGTCACGGACTTCATCGATGGGGTTCTGGAACCGTCGCCTCCACTACCTTATAACCGACAACCTTCTTGTACACCCCAAGGAGACCGCTCCTTTCGTCTCCCCCATCCTTTATCATCACAATATTCCGTAACCATACGTTAACGTTGCTTTAGTTCTTTTTTTCTTTGCTCTTCTTCCTTTTTTTCCCAGACGTGTAAGGTGTCTTTCCGATCGAACAGATCGCGATGGGCTCCAACAACGGAAGAACTACCAAGCTTGCTCTCGTACCGCTTCCCAAAGGCTCTGTTCTCCTCCCCGGAGCCACCCTACGGATCCCTGTCGCTAATCGACCTGATCTCTCCAATCTTCTTTCGTCACTGGTTGACCGGTCATCAGCCGTAAAGCGAGAGGGGAACGTGATCACGTTTGGTTGCGTTCCCCTTAACTCGCCTTTCTTAAGTAAGGATGGTCAGCAGTTGATTGACAATGGAAGTCTGGATGAAGATAGGAGAGAAGAGTTTGATGCCATTGATGCAGGCCAGGCAAGGAAAGAAGATCTCTTCCGTTATGGCACAATCGGCAAAGTTATTGGCGTCCAACGCCGTGCCTACTCAGAAGCGTCCCTTGTGGTTCAAGGAATTCAGCGATTCACAGTAAAACGTATCTTGAAAGAGAGACCTTACTTTGAAGCAGAAGCCATTTTACATGACGAGAAAGGTTAGTCTACAAGCCGTCCTTAACCTGTAGTGCAACCGAAACTGATGGGTTCCTTTCCTTTTGGACAGATTATGTGTCTAATGACTCGGAAACTGTCGAGTTATTCCAGCAGTTGAGGCGACTATCTCGGGAGCTACTGACCCTATTACGACTTTCATCGCTGTTGCCTTCCTCTTCAACACGCTTGTCGCCACTCATTGCCCGCAAATTCGAGCTGTTCATATCTAGAACAGATTTGGCACAGGCCGGAAGGTTGGCCGATTTTATGGCTGATATCGCCGAATCCGGAATCGAAGATAAACTTCGCGTCTTAGCTTCGCTAGATCATAAAGCCAGACTTGAAAGAGTGGTTGAAATGCTCAGCAGACAAGTTCAAAGTATCAAGAGCAATGTTAAAGTCACTACCATCACCACGAATAGCTTCCCTCCGTCTGGATTTGACATCAACCAGATCGATCCTCGTGACCGTGAACTCCTTGCGAGACGGGCCATGGCTGGTCTCACCGGGCTGACACCCCCAGGCGTCGCAGGCGGAAGAAACAATGACGGCGACGACAAGGAGGCAAACGAGGTTGATGAACTCCAACAAAAGCTACAAGAGGCCCAGCTTAGTCACGAGGCTAGAAAGGTTGCCGATAAGGAGTTGCGTCGCCTTCGGAAGATGAACCCGGCCAATGCCGAATACGGTGTTTGCCGGACGTATCTTGAGAACATCTTGGAGATCCCATGGACCAAGGTCACCGAAGACCAACTCGGTCCCGACACTTTGAAAAGAGCCAGGCAACAACTCGATGACGACCACTACGGCCTCGAAAAGATCAAGAAGCGGCTGCTTGAGTATTTGGCCGTCCTCAGATTGAAGCAGTCCACCAACCAGAACGTCGAACAGCAAATTGCCGCCCTCTCTAAGGACCTTGATTCTTCTTCCGATGCAGGTGATATCGAGAAGGATCTCCCAGGCCTGTCTGAGGCAGATCGTGTTGCTGTCGAATCTAAACTTCATCTTCTGAAGTCGAAGCGCATGACTGACAAGTCTCCGATTCTGCTGCTTGCTGGACCTCCTGGCACTGGCAAGACTAGTCTAGCGAGGTCTGTGGCCACTTCCCTTGGACGTAAATTTCACCGTATTTCTCTCGGTGGCGTTAGAGACGAGGCGGAGATTAGGGGTCACCGAAGGACATACGTCGCTGCAATGCCAGGCCTGATTGTCAATGGGCTCAAGAAAGTTGGCGTCGCAAACCCGGTCTTCTTGCTCGATGAGATTGATAAGGTCGGCGGCGCCAATTTCCAGGGTGATCCTTCTGCGGCTATGCTCGAGGTTTTAGACCCTGAACAAAACCATACATTCACTGACCACTACATCAATATCCCAATTGACTTGAGCAAGGTCCTTTTTATTGCTACTGCTAACTCGCTTGATACTATTCCTCCACCTTTGCTTGATCGTATGGAGACGATCTCGTTGTCTGGTTACACGACCGTCGAGAAACGGCATATTGCAAAGAGGCACTTGCTTCCAAAGCAGGTTGAAGTCAATGGGCTCACAGAGGGTCAAGTCATTCTTTCCGATGAGGTTATTGACAAAACTATTACTTCATACACCCGGGAATCTGGTGTCCGTAACCTAGAACGCGAGCTCGGCTCAATCTGCCGCTATAAAGCGGTCCAGTATGCCGATGCGGGAGATGCAGGCCATCCCGAAACTTATAATCCCGTTGTTACAATGGATGACCTGGAGGAGATCCTTGGTATTGAGCGATTTGAGGAAGAGATCACTGAGAAGCATGGTCGTCCGGGAGTTGTCACCGGTCTTGTCGCTTACTCTACAGGAGGGCAGGGTAGCATCCTGTTCATCGAAGTTGCAGACATGCCAGGAAATGGCCGCGTGCAACTTACCGGAAAGCTCGGTGACGTCTTGAAAGAAAGTGTTGAGGTGGCCCTGACATGGGTCAAAGCTCATTCTTACGAGCTGGGACTGACTCCGGATCTCAGCGAAGATATTATGAAGAGCCGGAGTTTGCATGTTCATTGTCCTTCCGGAGCCATTCCCAAGGATGGTCCCTCCGCTGGACTTGCACATACCATTGGACTGATCTCACTGTTCTCGAACAAAGCTGTACCCCCCAAGCTTGCAATGACCGGAGAGGTATCTCTTCGTGGAAGAGTAATGCCTGTTGGGGGTATTAAGGAGAAGCTCATCGGGGCACTCCGTGCCGGTGTCAAGACCGTTCTCTTACCGTATCAGAACCGCAAGGATGTCAAGGATGTTCCGCAGGAGGTCAGCGATGGCCTCGAGATCATCTACGTCAGGTAAGGTCCATCTATACTACATTCTTCTTGTTGCGCACTGACAATTGTTCCAGCCATATCTGGGAAGCCATTCGTCAAGTGTGGCCTGATGCACACTGGCCTGGTCAGCATCATGAGAACTTCGTCGAGAGCCGACTTTAATTTTCTTAAAGCAGATCGGCCATTCATTCCTATGCTTGCCTTGTTTTGTATTTTGCGTTTAGCTTCTTTTAGCGTAACTCTACTTATGTGACGTTTGCATAGCGTGTTGTCTCGTTAATATAACCTGGTGTCTGCTATATATAGCATAGCCTGTCGTGTGCACCCTGTCGATAATCTTTCTGCTTCTGTCGCTGCGATTCTTTTCCTTCAGTATATTCTTCCTTTTCCTCTCCCCTCTTTGATTACTACAATAGAACATGCTATAACAGTTACTTTGAATATATTGAGACAGCATATAATACAGAGTATTGCAATAGTCACCACATGATAAAAAAAGAAAAGGTTCCCCAAACACAGACCAGATCACCAAAGCGTGAAGAGTAAAGCCGCTTTTCTATACCCGGCCTTCCAGGCCTAACAAGAAAGAAACACAAGGAAGAAAGAAACAGTCACGATCTGGAAACCATTCATGAGCTAGTCGAGCTCTTGCCAAGTCCCATCCGATCATAGCTAAGACCCAAAGCCTGCCAAGTAGGTCTCCAGGGTTTCGAGCCGTCCAGCAGCTTCTTCGCTTCCTCGGCGTAAGCATCATGCTCATCCGTGTTTGCCTTCATACCCGCGTCCGGTCGTTGCTTATCTTGGATATCGTTCTGGTATTTGGCCGCCTTGTGGAACTGCTCGTACTCCCATCTACAATTGATACAACCCCCTCGTTAGCCCATATCACCCACTCCAGCACGTAAACAAACCCAAACAAAAACCAAAAGAAAAGAAGGGGGGCAAGAAAAAGAAAACATACGGAGTCATATCAGCCGGTGCCTCAGGCCAAACAAATGGAGTCTTCATCTCAACCGTCATCTTCTTCTTCGACATAGGTCTCCTCAATTTCCCGTATCCGAATTTACCCAAAGGACGAAGGCGAGTGACCTTCTGCTGCTCAACGTAACTCCTCACAGAGAGCACATCAACCCCATACAGGTGTTTCAGGTAGTCGCGCATATCCAATTTGTTGAAGTTCAGCGGGACATAGAAGGAAGCGTATCGCGGGGGGAGAAACGGTGTGCGGATGAGAGCGATTGTGAAGTCGGGGCTGGGTACAATCAGGATTAGAAACGCATTGCTTCTCATTGTGGATTCTCTCTCTCTCTCTCTCTCTCTCTTTGGGTTGAAGCGGTATATGTGTGTGCTGGCTGCAACTTACAGGAAGACCTGTTTCCGCATGGACAGCGGCGCCGACGGGGCCACCCAGTCTGCGGGCTTCTTGGGGAACTTGGAGAATCTGCGAACCATTTTGCCGTTTGTTTGCGCGCCCAATGGATGGTATTGGGTGGTTTGGTGCCGTTGGGGCTTTGGGTCGGTTTTGGCCGAGGAGAACTTGATATTGTTCGGGCTTTAGGGTCGGCGGAACTTTCGCAAAGTTGCGCGTGTGGCCGCGTCGCTTGCCGTAGTGGTGTTGGCCAACGGATTTAAAGTAGATTTACTGTACGGAGTAGTAAAGGATAAAACCAAAAAGATTTAGAATAAGAAATTATCAGAAAACTTAATAGTGAGTTAAGAGTAAATAAAGAGAAGAGCAAAGAGAAAGATATCTAGATCTCTAAGGATTACTGATTTTAAATACTGCCGAAGCACACTCGAGCAATTTAGTCTTTAAACGCTCATAATGGTCATTACTATCATCTAAATTTACTCATTAAACTCCTTGCGGCTTTTCATGTCTAGGAAACGTGCAATTCGCCCAGTCGTCGAGAACCCTCGTCGACCGCATCAGGCTCAGACTCCTTCAAATTTTCGGCACCGCTCTCTTCATCTGCGTTCACGTCGTCCTCGGCTTCATCCTCCGACCCCGAATGATCCTCTTCATCATCGCTTCCTCGCTCTTCTTCTTCATTGGTGCCGACCTCCTTCATGTATGCTTCCAGTTCACGAGCCATCTTCCTTGAGAACCCGGATGCTTCAACTTCAACGTCCAGCCGCTTTCCAGGGTTCTCACGAAGTTGCTTCTTAGCATCAGCGAAGAACGGGCCTGGCTCATCGCTCACATAGCGGAACTTCCGCTGGAAGTAACGCTTGATACAGTTCACATCACGGTCAAAGTACATCTCTGCATTGGCGTGATCAATCGATACCATCTGCGGGAAATCAATGATGACCGGAACCAGCCGGATGTTCTCGTCGTTCTCTGCATCTGCTGGGGCTTTGCCCTTCGCATTGGGGTCCTCCTCTTCTTTGATGAGGATATTGAATTCGTTAAAATCACCATGGATCAACCCATACCGAGCCAGGCTCATGATCGTATCCATAAGTTCTGAGTACAAGAGGGCTGGGTTCGGAACCGTCGAGATCTGGCGTAGTGGGAAGGCGTCAATGAGACTCATGACAATCGTGTGTCTGTTCTGTGCGATAGGCTCTGGCACTGAGAATCCGTTCTCTCCAAGTGCCTTCATGAAGGCATATTCCTTCATCGCCGCCAAGCGCGACATATACATCCACGAGCCAGTTTGGCGGTGTCGTAGGTAGTCTCGGTTAGTTTTGACTGTTCGAAAAGAAATGCGACCGAGACGATGGATCTTGAGAATGCGCTGTGTTCCCTGATGATTCGCAACCACGATAATGTCTGATTCCTTTCCGACGCCGATTTGGTTTCCGACGGAGTAGATGCATTTTTGCTTTTGGTGAGCGTTGAGCGCTAAATAATCGAGGCCACCGTAGGTAAGACGATATCCGTCGTCTATAGAAACAGTGACAATTAGCATGTATTCTAGAGACATGACGAAAGAAAGTGCGCAATCGACGACGTACATTTAGCATTCTTCACCTTCGCAATAAGATTGGTTTTGGCCAGATTCGAAATAGCTCGGTTTACACCACTACCACCTCGGAGACCCGAGATATTTGCGATCAAAGGGGTCGGGACAACTTCATGGTTCCTACTTCCAGTCTCAACCTAAAAATGTCTTTTGTTAGCTGTCAGACAACAAGCTACCAAAACGGCAAGAAATCGCGGGGGTGATGAGGGGCATACCGCAGAGAGAACACGGAAATCCTCAGAAGTGAGGTAACGAATCGCCTTTGCATCGAGCTTCATGATTGTCTATAGTCACCGAAGCCTAGGACAACAGAACCAGTGACCTTCTTAAACCGCAAGCTGCATACTGAGAGATGCCGCGGACCTGGATGGAGAAAAAGTGACAGGAGGCCCCCCCTTGCCCTATGCCCTACTTTCCTTTCCGGGAGTATAATTCAACCTTTTTTGGGGACCTCGAGGGCAGTGAGCTACAATTTGCCCATCCAGAATCCGGAATAATAGGTGGAATGGATGGCTACACCCACCGTTAATCTAGCTCTATCCTAGTCATATTTGTTTTGTACGCAGGGCTTACTATCAGGTTCAGTGCAAAAGATGGGTTATGGGTTATACTCAGTATAAGCTCGGTGACCCGTACTCTACCTCCACCAAAATCTAAACCAGATACAAAACCATGGCTTAATCATGGAAAACAATGCATGTTATTTTCCGACTCGTGCTGAATACATTAGACCAAATCATATCAGAGCGCCGGCTGTGTCTTCCTGCACTCGACTAAACCCGCATAATTTATAGAAAAAACAGTATATCACTTCTTAAGCAGTACTCTGCTCCCCCTCCCAATTGGGATTCTGTAACGAAGCCTGTTAGTTACGTTGTTATCCATGCAGGAGTAGAGGGTGAACTTACTTTGCGGAGAATGACCAACCCCTCGAGTGTGCTGCTGAGAGGGATATACTGCTCATCCTCAAGCTCTGCTCTTTCGCCGTATGCAAGAAGGACTGGGGTACTTTGTGTTTGCCAGCCAGTGATGGTCTTAGGACGTCCAGCCTGTCCAACAACATCCACAGCCTGTCCCACTCGCACATTCACGGTGAGGGGTTGTAGGTCCTCGTCGAGTGTAACAAGGAAGCGAGGATACATGGCGGTGATAAGGAAATAGAGTAGGTAGTGGTGTTCTGCAAGGATGAATTGTTTGGCGTCGATCATAGACACGAGGACTGTGAGCAGACCGGCAGCCGAGACACGAGAGAGGACCTGGCGATCAGTGTGGAAAGGATTTAATGTCATGGTGCCCTTGCCCATATGCAGGAGACCTTGGGCAATGCGGACCATGAAGAGGGAGTTCTGGTCACGGTGGTAGTAACTGGCCAACTGTCTAAGTAGCTGTGCCAAACGAGCATTGTTGGTACCAGCACCGCAAAGACCCATGGCGAAAATTGCGTTGATGGCAACGTCATTGTCGTTATCGTGGCTATAACGCGACAAGGTGTCATACACCTTCATCTGTGGGTTGCTAGGGGTAATCAAACCCATAGCAAGGGGAACGGCCTTGCGGATGTTGCTCGCGCCGTAATGCATCAAATGGCCAAATTGTCTAAGAATCATGTCTTGACCGACTTCCTCACCCATAGCAATTAACGATAGACCTAACACAGCGTATGACTGAACAAGCTCGTCGCCCTTGTTTTCATCGCTCTCTTCAATGATGTCGTTGCAGATGTGAAGGAGTTCCTGCAGCTTGAGGACTGTACCTGTTCCAGCCCACGCGCAAACGGAGGCTAGTACAGATGTGGGCTTAGCCATAGGGTGGTCCACGGCTTTGAGAATATCAAGAATGACATCAACCTCTTCTTGGCGGCCGAAGTAAAGAAGCGCCAGACCAAGAGCCATGAAGCGCGTCCACTTGTTCTTGAGCTGCTTCTGGCGCTCCTCATCCATCAGGGTCGTGGCAATTGCCTCGCTAACTTGATGGTTGGAGGAACCAACGAAAATCAAACCCAAGGCGACGGCAGCCATCGCAGATAGTTGCATATCAAGCGACACATCCTCGACAATTGGAAGCAGAACATCGAGGAGTTCCTCCTTATTAGATCCAGCATAAGCCAAACCAAGACCCATGATAGATGCAACTCTCATCGGCACGTTCTTAGCTTCCAGGTTATCGGGATCGCTCAGGAGCGCCAGAGCAGGATCGGAATCCAACCGGACACCCGAGTTTAGGATACCAATAGACAGTAGTGCACCGGCCTTGATCTGATCTTCCGTGGCATACGTGAATTTGTCGATCTTGTCAAGACCGACATCGACATCCCTGTGCATTAGCATACCCATTGAAGCCGTTGTCGACAACATGCCATCGTCCTTCGTCTTCCAGACCCATGGGCCTTTATCACCCTCAACCAGCATCATCTTGTCATTTCCAAATCCAGCGTTGGCAAATGAGTTGACAAAGGCGCTGGCGAGATTGTGGCGCGCAGAGTCGACGTTAGTCAAGCCAGCTCCGCGGCTGCTTTCCAAGTGCGTTTTGTAAATATCTTCTGGCATCTTGGGGTCGAGAATGTTGAGCTCCTTTCCGAGAGATTTGAAGTGACTGGGGATTAAGGTATTGTTAAGGCAGTCCATGAAAGACTGGTCTTCCTCCTCATCAGGCATGTCCAGCCATATTTGTTGTCTAGCAACAAGGAAAGCCATCTGTTTCTTCAGTGACCTATCCGAGGTGGCATTGATATCGCTCTTAATAAGGTCGGTGTCGTTCAAACGGATGGCGAGAACAACTGCCTTGGTGAATTCCTTGTAGCGGACATAGATTTCGTGGGCCGTTCGGAGGAACTGCTGGTCTTCAGGATATGTGAGGAGATTGACCATGGAAACCATATATAGACAGACTCTCGAGTATGTGTTCTCGTCCAAGAAGCGCGGGATCTCTTCGATAATTTCGAGCTCACTCAAAAGGTCAACGGCATCAGCTTCGGCATTATGGCTCAAGAAGTACGGGACAAGAGACAGCGCAAGATCGATCAAGTCCTGTACACCCTTCTCAGCGTTTAACCTGTTTTGGTATTCTTGACCGATTTCCAATGCCAGATGTCTAATGTATTCGTGGCCCCAAGAACCAAGGTCCTCCGACTTCGTCAACAGCCGGTACTTCAGTGTCTCGAGTTTCTCCTCATCTCCATAAGTCATTCCGAGCACGGAAAGCATATCGGCCAAGGAGTCCTGGATTGTATCAATGTACGATTAGTCCCCATGCGGACCATGCCAGGAAAGAGAAACCAACCTTAACCGAGCCAGCGGACCATTTCTCATAGACTTCCGTAAGCTCATCGTAGTGTGGTCGGAGGAACTTGAGAGGCTTGGGAACAGCTGTCATCGAAGAGGTTGAAGTCTTAATAAAATTCTTAATGGCGTCTAAAGCGGGACCGTAAAGGGAGGTATCGGGTTCCTAGATACAAAGCGGGCACGTTAACGTCATCGTTCAGCATATCTTAGGCCTAGGTTAAAGAACCATACCTTTAATCTCTCTACGAGCATCTCCAGCTCATTTTTCAGCTGCTGATCCTCCTCACTTAGCTCTTCTAGATGATTCGCCCAGTTAACATCCGCATAGGTCGGAAGATTGTCCGGTGCACACAAGTGGTTTTGACTCAAGACCACAACATACCTTCCTTGGGCTCTTCATCCTTCTTCTTTCCATCGGCTTGTTGCTTCTCATCAGTCGGGGCCTTCTTCGCCCCGGGCAGGTCCTTCACATCATCAACCTTGCCTTTGCCCTTGTCGGCGGGAGCTGACCGCTCGCCTTCTTTCGCCATTCTGACGGGTAACTGGCGTCAAAGTATATCTATGTGCTATCGAGAAATTTTGGAGCTTATGAATCAAAGACAGGAAGTGTCGAGTGTGAGAAAAACAAATAATTATAGTAGAACAAGCCTCTGCACGACGAGCGATGGGGCAGAGACGGGAGGGTGAGCTTGTTGATGGAAGCAGAGAGAGAGCTGTCGCTCATCGCCATTGCGTTGCGCTGCGGGTGGAGCTACCGCCTGATTATGTAAGACCGGTTCCGCCAAGAAATTCTTACTTACATACTAGTAGGGAGTACTACATTTGCTACCGCTTATAGTAGACGGCATAGACTTAAACTATAGATAATGAGGTACAGTGTAGAACTGGTATTGAGATAAAGGCCATCATTATGGCTAATTGCGAGGAGCCTTTTGCGGCTCTGGTAAAAAAGGAAACGTAGAATATAAACGAACTTGCTGCGTTTCGAGCCGTCACTCTTCAACGAGGGTTGATTAGAGGCACCTCAATGAGCGTGATGCAGGTGTCGAAGCTACTAGTACTAGTATCATGCACATAATCATCCATCATTTTTCCTTGTCACTCACGCAGACTTCGTATCTTCAAATTGATCTTCGATTCCAGGCACGTACTATATCGTTCAAAAACTCAGACGTCCCCCAGGTAGGATCATCTTGTAAAACGTGAAAACAACATCTCACACTAGGGCTATGAAGTTTAAGCCTCATGCAATTAAGGGAATGCCCCAAATGCCCCTGAAATGGACGGCATGTTGAAGACATCTCATAGAATAGCGGAGGAACCAGCGGTTTAGATTATTAGAGTTACGTAGCCGAGCTGCCCCAATGGGCGATGTGATCGATTGAGTTGTTATCAGGTCCCATAAAGTAAGAAGATGTTCATGGGCACTCAAGAGACTTTTCCGCGTTCAATTAGATCAATTGTCAGCGTTGTCAGGCTTGGTGGGCTTGGCCCAGCTTTCTTCGGAGTATTCTTCTGGGGGCTGAAATAAGTCAGTATGAACAGTTGCTAGAGTCTGGGTGCTCCTAGCAGCTGGATAGAGTAAATAGTAGTCTTTTGCACGCATGAATTCTAGTAAGTACTCCATAACAGCTGGGTATCTCTCTGAAATGACCTTCTCGTGCGACAAAGTCTCTTCCTTGGCAAGCCGTTCAGAAAGAAAAGACTGGAATTCGACCCATTTGTCTCCGAAATATAGCGCCGCGTTGCTGTTCGGAACCTGTCCCAAGGCGACAGGCATGGTCTCTCTTTCATCTAAGCCCGAGAAGCGACGTGTATCAGGAATTGGGAAGTTGTGTGATTCATCGTTAGTAGGAAGCGAGGACGGAAGCTCTAAAGATATTCCAAGTAAATCAGATTCCATCTGTCCCGCGCTTGCCGAGTATTTGTATTTCAACACAGTATGCTTTAGGTAGTGGTAAAAAGAAGCAGATAACTCTGTTTGTGGAGAAAGCATAAGCACATGGGTCATGTTTGGATCCTGGGGGTAGAAAGCTTCCGCAGTTCTCAAAGAAGCTTCAGCCGCATCCAAGACGCCATGTCGCACACGTCGGCGGAGAGTGACCTTGTTCGAGGCGCTAGAGGGCCATTTCATTGTCCTCAGAAACTGTAGAAGTTGCGGATCCACATCATGGGGCAACTCGATAGTCAGGCCGGGGGCTGACTCAAGGTAGTCCGCATCTTTCAGAGATCGAATTAGTCTGATGAAAGACCCTGAGGACTCGGTAGGAGCTTTGATCAGCACCTCGATGCGCACATCATTCCACGCTATAGATTGATTCTGTGTTAGTCCTGACATCACATACATCAAAATAGTCGAAATCGATCTATATAAATACCTTGAAGAGAGTGACTATCCAAGGAAGAGATCCACATAATATCCCTAGCCGCGGTGGGAAGCACGATATGGACGGTCCCGAGCTCTCGAGCCTTCTTCTCAATACCGTGTAAGAAAAACACTTCTTCCGAGGACTCGCCTTGTGTGATCACGGCTTGGGGAGATAGATAAGCGTGCACGTAGGTTAACCCGGAGGCAACAGCCCTCTCCATTTGGACATCCGTTGACCACTGCGCGTAATCTACCCGACCATCTACAAGCTAAGCCTCAGCAAGCTATTTCGCAGAGTGCGAGAGGAATGTCTAAACATACCATGCCAATAGACAGGACAGTCACTATCATCGATGATGCCATTCACGTGCTTAATACCTTCAATCGAGACGTCATCCCTCCCCATAAGCACAAAATGGACTTCATTGGCTCTTTCATTAGCCATTTTACAAGCGAGAGGAAGAAGATCAGAGATGCTCCTCAAACTCGCACCAGCGAAGACAACTGCACGACTGGTAGGCAATGCATGGGCACCTGGTAATTTGCGAAATCTATACAAAGTTTTACCAAGCGAGTGGAAATGGATGCTTCCCTCATAATAAAGATTTCCTTCAGGCGCAAACTCATCCCGTGGAGGAGGGCCTCGTTGAGGGATGGCGGGCGATGGTGCGGGAGGGGACCATGGCATTCCAGCTCTCTGTCGCGTTTCTGCAAGTGAAGGGCTAAACCGCTCCGGAGCAGGCGAAAGATCGGTGGGCATATTTCTAAAGAAGAGATATACCATATACAATGCGGTAACTCCCAATATAATCCGCCGCAGTCGTGGTAACTTCCATCGTTTTGACGAGCGCCAGAAATGCGAAGGTTTCCGTGGTCGATGGTCGTCGTCCTTCTTCCCCAACTCTTCATCAGCCAGAAACGGCCTCTTGGTAGTTAGCATAGTTTGCGCATGTATATAATAGCTCCGGGGGAGCTGTTAGATTCAAGTATGGCATTTGACTGTGGGGGTGTAGAGGAGAAGAAAAGATGTTTTGGTTGTTGACATCAAATTAAAGTAGGGGCGGTTGCGCATAGTTGAGACGGTTGCGGGAGTGCGCGAGAAAACAATTAAAATTAAATTAAATGGTTTAAATTCATGGCAGATTACTTAAGTCCAGAACAGACACATGATTTACTCCACCGCTTTGTTTCCAACGTGATAAATCGGCTCAATATTGATATTTTTAAAGCAACAGAAACAATTGGTATTGATTCTACAGAAATATCATTAATCGCCAAGCCCACGTCGCGTCAAGGCCATAGTCGCCTCTTTCTCATCGGTGCGCATGGTGTTGGCTTCCTAAGCAAATTGAGTAAAGCCGTGCTGATAGACAACAATAGAACTTATCGATAAGTACAGCTCCATTCGAGAACCATGGATCCTGAAATGGACGTGGATGTCCCAGAGCCTCGTGGCACCAAACGGGCTGCTGAAGAAGATGAAGCTTCGAAAAAACCTAAAAGAATCAGAGTCAGTTCCAACAGCCTGAGCCATGTCTCGACATATCCAACTAATGACGCGACTAGGCTCTTGATCCCGATGTTGTGAATAAGATCGCCGCTGGGGAGATTATAGTAGCTCCTATGCACGCTTTGAAAGAATTGATCGAGAATGCAGTTGACGCTGGCTCAACGTCGCTCGAAATTCTTGTAAAAGATGGTGGACTGAAACTGCTTCAGATCACAGACAATGGCCACGGCATAGACGTGAGTCAAATCCGTCAGCATTGGTACACAAAGCGATCACTAATTTAACAAAGCGGGATGACCTGCCCATTCTCTGTGAAAGGTTCACTACCTCGAAGTTAAAACAGTTCGAAGATTTATCATCCATTGGTACGTACGGTTTCCGTGGCGAGGCATTAGCTAGTATCAGCCATATAGCTCATCTCACCGTAACTACCAAAACTGCTAGCTCAAGTTGTGCCTGGAGAGCACATTACAGTGATGGAAAGCTTATTCCTCCAAAACCTGGGCAACCTGCTGCCCCCAAAGCCACAGCTGGACGAGGTGGCACTCAAATAACTGTGAGCGGAAAGCCAACTTTATCAGCTGCTGCAACTGCAACTAATTTGATCAGGTCGAGGACCTTTTTTACAATGTCCCGACGCGGCGACGAGCATTCCGTTCAGCGAGTGAGGAATATGCCAAGATACTGGATGTTGTTGGTCGTTACGCCGTACATTGCTCCGGCGTGGCGTTCTCCTGCCGCAAACACGGCGACTCTGGCGTAAGCATCTCAACGCCGGTAGCTGCCAATACCATCGACAGAATTCGTCAGATTCACGGAAGCGCAGTGGCCAACGAACTTGTCGAATTCAAGGCTGAGGACCAAAAGCTAGGATTCCGCTCTTCTGGCTATGTCACAAACGCGAATTACCATGTCAAACGGACCGTTATCCTTCTTTTCATCAACCACCGCTCTGTGGAGTCCACGGCAGTAAAACGAGCAATTGAGCAGACATACTCGAGTTTCTTGCCCAAAGGCGGACACCCATTTGCCTATATCGACCTGGAAATCGAACCGCATCGCGTGGATGTGAATGTCCATCCAACAAAGCGCGAAGTCAATTTCTTAAATGAAGATGAGATCATCGAGTGTATATGCCAGGAGATCAAGTCAAATCTTACCCAGGTTGACTCAAGCCGAACTTTCTTGACACAAACGCTTCTTCCTGGTGTTATAACGATGGAGCCGGCGCCTCGCGACCCCGAGTCAACAGACGCTGAAGGACGTACTCCTAAAACGCCTGCAACAATGAAGAAGCCATACGAACATAATCTGGTTCGCACAGACTCCAAAGTACGCAAAATCACCTCCATGCTGTCACCCGCAGTTCTCAACACTGCAGAAGCGGAAACAACCTCTAGCGTCCTAGACGAAGGACTGCAATACGAAACCACCGATCGCGAACCACTTCGGATCGCCCTCACATCCGTGAAGAACTTACGGGCAAGTGTCCGCAGCGCAATGCATAACACCCTGACGGAAACCATTGCCTCCCACACCTACGTAGGCCTCGTCGACGAGCGACGACGCATAACAGCCATCCAATCAGGAGTGAAACTCTACCTCGTCGACTATGGGATGTTCTGCAACGAGTTCTTCTACCAAATCGGCCTCACAGACTTCGGCAACTTCGGCGTCATAAAACTAGACCCACCACCGAAGCTCATCGATCTCCTCCAGATCGCAGCTGACGCCGAACGAGAAGTCCCCAGCAGCCGAAAAGCTAAGTCAAGCGAAGAAAACGAGAAAAATGAAATCTTCGACAACGCACCAGACCTAGTCACCAGAGCACTCATAGACAGACGCGAGATGCTCGATGAGTATTTCTCCCTCAAGATCTCTGCAGAAGGTGAATTGCTCTCCCTCCCACTCTTACTTAAAGGCTATCTCCCGTGCTTGGGAAAGCTGCCCCGGTTCCTCCTTCGGCTTGGTCCTTATGTCGACTGGACAAATGAGGAAGACTGCTTCCGCACGTTCTTGCGGGAGCTCGCGGCATTCTATACACCAGAGCAATTACCGCCCCCTCCGCCACCAACGGAAAATGATGGGAACGAGGAATCCCCAAATATAGATACAGAAGATGAACTCATTAGGGATCGTCGATTACAGATAGCTCGGATGCTGGAACATGTGGTTTTCCCGGCGCTTCGATCTCGTCTGGTTGCGACGAACCGACTTCTTCGGGGTGTTGTTGAGGTAGCTGATTTGAAGGGTCTGTATCGTGTTTTTGAACGGTGTTGATTTCCTGGAGAGTTGTCAGGAGCCATCTACTACTACCCATTTAGTCTATTACTACTTCATTACCATAATCATATAGAGTATTTGATTGTATCAGAACACTCGCAAGTACCAGGGCGAAAACGATCCTCGCTAGATGCTTTCATGCTATAGCATATCGTAGGTCCACAATCAGGCATGTCAAACTCTCAACGCTTTTAAAGGAAACAAAAGAGGAAATGGAAGTATACCGTTCCATGTTAGACGCCAAGGACACTCCGAAGTGAGAACGGCTGGTCGAAGATGGATCGAAACGCAATGAAACGATATCAAGGGTGAGGGTGATTTGGATAATCATCTGCCTCGGGTAAGCACAGTATACACATAGCCAATTCAGCCGAAGGTTTTTATTATACGGCAAACGCCGACCAGAAAGACATGATTATATACATGACAAGCATATCGTGGCATGCATTGCAAGACGTAACATCATTCGAGTAGATCGCATCCTTTAAACGCCCAAAAAGAGGAGACATAGAAAAGTGACCCAAATTTTCCATAATTCGTCCAGCCGTTTCCTTCGTTTATCTTTCATGCCACACATATCAATCGTTATCAAAATCAGATTACTTCTGTATCATGACAATTGGTGTTAAAACACTGCATTCCGGCTAAACGTGCCGTAACGCTCTGAGGCGAAAATTATGATTCGCAGTCCAAACCTAAGATATCGCTCGATGTTTGCTTATCTCGAGTATGGTTTGTTCATCAATGCAATTTCACGAGCCACTGTGGGCCATTCAAGTTCTCTCTTTGGAGGCTTGTTCTGTCTCTGTAACAGCAGTTCTTCCCATTTCAGGAGTTCGTAACTGAATGGCTGCGTTAGCCGAAGCATCGGAAAGGTGATGAGCAATAAAGTAAGCTGCACGAAATCGGAACTTGAGGGTCTTACACAAAGCGTAGATGCGGCTGGATGATAACATTAAGCCGTCGTGCGCGAACAAAACAACTATTCTTGTCAGCTAAAGCTTACCAATGTGTCTTGAATAATACTTACTATGCTCTTGGGAATGAAAGGCCTAATGATGCCATAACTTCTGCTATGCAGATGGTCGCTGATCGCGAAACCCCCACTCGGCAATGGACTAAAGTAGCCGTTCCGTGCTTTTTCCCTTTTCCTACAGTGCCATCATGTTAGTTGACAATATACTGTGGACGATAACCTCATAGGACAGATAGCCAGTACTCACGGATAAAACCCAAGCAACGCTCAAGTTCCTGAGTCAATGGGTCTATGCCATTGTCTTGAACCTGCGTAACGTGCATAATATTGTCTGCGCCGAACTTAGCCACCTCGGAATCAGTCCAAGTAACCGACTCGCCAACACTCAGAATACGTCTGATGCCCAAAGCCCACAGCATTTCTGGGTTATTTGCGTGTGATAGATTGCCGAGATACATATATGGCAAGATTCGACTGGGGAGCGAACCATCGAAATAACTGAACCAGTGAGGGTCAGCGAGCTCGGTAAGACTGCCTATTGGTATCGCAGGGCTTTCGTGTAGTAACCTCGCCTGGACAGCGCTTAGAAACGTGACGTCAGATGGGTAGGCAAAGAAGTTCCGCTTTCTGTCGCAGTGAAGCTTAAGCCAGGCGTCAGGCGCCGTCACACCCTCGGCAAACATGACGTAGGCGATGACCAGCAATGAGCTTTCTGTATAGCCGTCTGGGCAGTGGATAAGTATCTTGCGAGGTTTCTTGGGAATAGGATCCATGGCGATATCCCCGTCGGCATCCGGTCGGCTTTCTGGTTCGTCTGGATTTGCTAAGTAGTAGAGCCACCGCACGGTGTTGACGAGATCATCCACCTCCCTATCATCACCTGATGGCGGAAGAATAGACCCAGACGAAGGGAACTCCAACCGCTGGGGCCCATCATCGAGTTGCCTATTCAGTTTCGCCAGGAATCGAGGGCCCGGGAGGCTCGCAAAGTCGCTCGCCTCAATCAACAGATCAAAATACTCTCCAGTTGTAGGCTCACAAGTCCCAGGTCTTAACAGATAATCAGGGGTTGGCCCTTGCCAGACATTGGTCGAAATCTCAGAAGCCCGGGACATGTCACACATTTCCCACCGTTCCCATTGAACTGATCCTCTGTTAGGCTTGGGTCTGTCAAAAATGGAGTGAAATACCTACAGAAATCCATAGTGTGGCCAGTGAGTTGTCCACGGGCGTTAATGGCAACGATGCCAGGGGCACATTGTTCGACTTCGGAAAAGGTAGCTATTGATGGTTAGCTCTTGCCGGACACC